AAAAAAATCAGACGACAAAATCAACACCAGCAGGACATAATTCAATGTTAATAACAGAACAAGCCCTTGAGCCATTAATTCCCTCCTTTTCAAATTACATACTTCCTAGGTTAGTTGTGTTTAGTATGCACCCAAAGCAGAAGTCAAACAGCCATGCATGACAGGATTTGTTTCAGTGAAATCAAATAAAACTTGGTCAATAAATGCTCCAGCTTTCGATTAGTATAACTCACAAACACTAACTAAATTTTAGATTTGATTTAAGTTACTCACAACTGAAGTTTTGCCAACGATACAAATTTGAGTGTTTTCTGAATTGGATGTCCTATACAATTGCCCGATAAACCATAGACCTTAGAAAACATAACCCACTTTGCACACAGGAAACTGGATTTTCTTTTGTCATTAGACAGAAGTTGCATGTCCCTGTTTTCTAAGGTCTATGGCTAAACTCAGTGATGCCATTGGTCATGTCTGGCAATTAGGCTCCGGATCACATCAACCTGATGTTGCCAGATAATCCAATCAGCATAAGCTGTACGTACTCACCACATCTACTTGAACTAGTAATATCCGCAACTCATAACTATGCCCTAGCTGTTTAAGCCGATCATGTATGTAGTCAGGTTTCAAATTGTGATAACGAATGCTAAAGTGAAAAATAACAATAGTATAGTCATGACTCCATGCAATTGACATGTGTGATTTGTCTTCTCAATAATAGGATACTCCAATACTCAATACCTGCTGATTCTTGTGGCAATCTTGCTAGCTATTTGCTACCTTAAAGTCATGTGACTTCTGATATACCGGTAATAAACTATTGATTTATATCTGGGGAGTAATCACTTGTGCATGCAACAGACAGGCGCAGTATGGTGTTGTTTACAAACAAGTTTCTACCCATGAACCTTTGCATTTTTGACATGCGTTGATATTGTTGATTAGAACAAATTTAATTAAATCACTATTGGTCATGTGACTATTGTTCAGGTCATATGTTCATTTCTCTAAATCCACAAATAGTTTTTTAAGCAGATTTCAAAACGCCATGTTTTCAGTAATATCCAGTTTGTAAAAAATATATATGCCAAAAAAACAAATGTTGTGGTTCCTATAACATGCTTTTAATTTTTTTTTTTTAACTATGTTTTATTTTTTCTTGCATATAATAACTGTTTTTGCAGATATGAGTGTCTTAAATCATGTTTACATTTTCCCAGTTTTGCAAAGTTTTGATTTTCTATAAAATCAACCATTCAAAGCCCGCCACAATATTTTGATGTTTTTACAAATATGGCCAAAAAAAATTAAGGGGAGCAAAAGAGGGTAGGTTGGGTTATAAGAACCAAACAATAATTAGAAATGTACCAAGCAGCTAGTTTTCACAGATATGAGTGTCATGAATCATGTTGTTTACATTACCCAATTTTGCACAAAGTTTAAGAATTTCAATAAAAACACATTCAAAGCTTGTTTCAGTTTTCTTAAGTTTTCCCAAATATGACCAAAATAGTATAGGGTCTGGCAATAAAAAATAGGGTACTAGTAGTTCTGAATATAGGAACCATGAAATTTTTTTTTCTCGACCAAAGGAACCTCATTGTATCCTGTAGATTGTGAACTGAACATAAATTTCTGTGACGTGTTTACTCAAGAAGACACAAAATATCAAAGGAACCAGACGCTTTCAAGTTTAACTTCTTGTCTATTCCGCCATTTTTATTTACAGTAACACCAATCGCACTACTTTTTACATATCAATACACTTGGGTGATCAGGTGACATATAACACCATTACAAAAACATGTATTTTGACACATACAATAAAGTAGTCACAAAAACGTCACACTTTCAAATTAGTCAAAGTGCAAGGCAGTGATCTCCTCAGGAAAACAAACAGTGTAGCGGTACTGCTACAATGCTTTGATTAACCATCACTGACAACATCACAGTCATTATTCTGATTTATTTCCACAGTGCCATTGCTGACTAGTTGAATCAGATTGATAAATAGCTGATAACTCAATGTGTAGTTGTACCACGCTTGAGTTTTGTAAAGTATAATTGTGTGCAGTACACATTATGTAATTGGGGGTTTTAATGCGCATGTTAATTAATCATCACAATTTCAGTTTAGATTACCCATAGACCTTAGAAAGAGAGGGACAGGCAACTGGATTATAAAACAAAGGATTTCACGACATCCGGCGTGCAACGTGGGTTACTACAGTTATAAACAAATGACCAAGCTAAGGAAGCCGTATGCCGTCACTCACAATCAATCGGCCGCGCAGTTTGCAACACCTCTTTCGGTGCTTGTGCTCATTACATTGAATTTTTAATTTCAATACAAATCCAATTTTTTGTACTGGTTA